TTCCAAACCTAGTGTTATGCTGAAAACCAGCCTCTGCATACGTCAAGGGCATCGGTCTCTTGTTCATTGTTACGGCCAGACCAAATGTGAGCTTTTCAGAATAGATCTTGTAAAACTTTCCCATATCCCACTCTCCCCAGAGCTATCAGAAAGATTTCCCCTTCCTGAAGAACTTTGCTCCTTTCTTCATCACTCAAAAGTCACTCTCTGAAATAATACCAAGCTCCAGGCAAAAAAAAAAAAAAAAAAATCACCTTGGAACTGAGCAAAACTAGAAGACATTTTATCTCAATATATCATGTTTTTTTTTTTTTTTGACAAACTGTAATTTCCCAAAATACTGGCTGGTAATGAAAGTGCCGTTTCCAGTTGTGAGTCATATTCTCAGTGTAGCTTCTTTGGCTTGAGCGGAGTAAGGCTGCTTTACACCAGCTAAAAATCTGATTCCCCAACTACAGCAGTGTGACTGGGTGCTGTTTTCTAATCAAATAACCACTGTGAAATACCTGATTCACTTTGCACCCAACAGCTGTACTTTCAGCCTGTGTTCCCAGTCACACTCTGAAAACAAGCACAATAAGAAAGGCCGAAACAGCTGCAACTTCTCAACAGAAAAAAAAAGAAGGGGGAAAAAAAAGCTTGTTGTCAGGCTCCAGCTTAGGAAGGAAGTAAAACCATTTTTCTTTTCCGTCTCATGCATGTCAGCTGTCTTAGAAAAATTATTACTGCTCTGTTTTGTAACAGAAACTCCACAATATTTGGTAAATGACAAACTCCAATCTATTCATGGCCAAATACAGATTTAACATTCTGATGCAGCCAAAACATGCTCAGTATGTCAATGGGCTGCAATTACTCTCCAGGAGAGCTTTGGAATTCACCTCCTGGCCCCAATTATCCTCCTTAAAAGAACTCATGAATCTTCTGTATTTGGACCATCCAGATCAATTTGATTTTAGTTTTAGATTTTGGCTGAAAACAATAAACATTTAGTGAAGGAGGCTGTATTTCCTTTCCAGTATTAGTGCCTTCCAGAGCTGTTTAAGGGAATAATTCTATTTAATTGAACTAAAAGCACAAGCAGAAAACAACAGGTGACTATTTCGTGGTTGGATAAAACATACCTGCTTTTGCATTCTGAATATCACTGGCTCCTCAGATGACTTTTTTAAAATAAGCAAAATACAGGCTATATTCTGAGTTGGGTCACTAGCACAGTTTTGATGGGTAATGCCATAAGTTTCAGTGGAATCACTTGTAAAGATAGGAACTATTCATTGTGATACGTCTCTAAATACATCAAAACTCCAGAATCAGGTAGCCATCATCTACAGAAGGAAAAAATTTGTGCTCAGAAACTACATGTTAAACCTTCTGTTGACTTTTGCAGCAATGCTGTGCTACAGTCATGTGGTAAAGAGAGAAAAATTGATGGAGATGGAAACAGAGGTGAGGCATCAGTAGGAAGGCAGAAAGTCATGAGCAGAAGAAACTGCAAAAGGAGATGAAAGACAACAAGAAAAAGGAAAGAAAGGAAAGTAGGAGAATCAAGTGGTTGGCTGCTGATCAAGTATAAGCAAATATAATGGGAGAATATGAGAAACATTTTCAAATAAATTTCTCTCAGGTTGAGTATAGGTAGCTTGCTGCTGCATCTATTGGCTTCCACAGCGCAGGCTTGGAGCTTCAATTCAATTTAGGTGGCATGATCGCTATGTTTTAAACATCCTTTTTTTCCCCACAAAATGTTTCATAACAATTAAAGGAAACCCTAAATTAATACACCAAAATGTGAATTAAATGTTCATTACTTTCACCAAGCTGTTTCATATTTGTGCACTTCAGGGTGCGGTTGTCAGAGACAGAGGTACTGTACTACTATTTCTTTTAATCTCATGAATGACTGCTAGTGCTGAAATTTATGTCACAAACTAAATTGTCTAAATATGGTAAGATTTGGTATTTCAAAGAGGATACAAGATGAACTGGATTCACTGGAAGGGCTGAGCTGATTTTCTAATTTTAGAAACCTATATATGAATATTTTTTTCTTTTGCTGTTAAATAGTTGGCATGAAAATATGTTCACAAGATATTAACACAATATAACCATGATAGGTAGAATTTTGCAGCTAATTTTCTCTGAAAGCTTACCTACCTCTGAAGGGATATAGTCAACTCTGAACAGCTACAAGTTGCAAGGGGATTGCACAGGAAACTTCACAAAGAGCTAAAAATCTGAGTGCAAATGACTGTGCAAAAGTGAGGTGCGTAATAAGTGAAAAACTGAGGATTCTTTGCAATATGTTCCAGTAGATTTCTGAATGAAACAAAAAAGAATATTACATTTCTCTGCTAAAAAATGTGGGGAAATGCTTGGGGATATCTTTTTGATAAATTCAGTCATTGTTAGATTATTCTGATTTTTTTTTAACCCATTTTACTTCAGTAATGGTAATTTAATAGCTCAATTTTTAATGATCGCCATCTCATTGCAGTTAATAGCTATATTTCCATAGAAACACAGCAAATCTGCTTTAGTTGGGCATTTTCTAATGAGCATGTTTGAAAGCACTTCCTAGATAACTATTAGTGAAAAAAAAAAGATTTAATGTAAGTGAACACTAAATTCTGCAAAAAGCTGTGTCTTCTGTATCCTACAGATCTAGTATCCCTTTCAAGATCATTTAAAGGCAAAACAAATACTAACCTTTTTATTTGGAGGTAGCGTCATTAAAAGTAGTCAGTATGCTTATTCTCCTGCTGGTTGCACCAAACCCTCAAAGAAAGAGCTCCTATTTATTACAATATGAGCCCAATGCTGACTTCCCCCTATAGCTCAAGCCAATCTAATTCAATGATGAGAATATTTCTGCTAATGGCAATGTGCAGTTTACACAATAGCCTTTCTTTTGATCCATAACTGAAGCTGGAATGGGAAATGTATTCTGGAAATATTTTAATTGTTCCTTGAGTTGGGCAAACCTCTGAATGAAGTGTGTAGTGCAGGACTTGAATGAATAATTTAAAGAATGTTACAAATAAAAATAATGCTGCCTTGCGCTTTCTACCAAAGCTCCCTAAAAGCTTTGTGACAGCCCAGAATAAATGCAGCGAGTAAGACAGTAGTTGTTATTAACTGTATTTTGTAGATAAGGAAATGGCTTCAGAAAGGTTAAACAAATTGCTCATGTTCGCTGTGTGAACATTTAAGAACAGAGCGAGCATAGGTTGCTCCTGTGCTTAGTGCGTAGCTCTTTGCATTTGCCTTTCCTGCACTGAAGACAAACTGCAGCTTAAAGTTACCAAGATCATCATGGGAAGTTCAGGTAAAACTGGCAGGGTTGTCATTGAACATTTTGTTAGATTCCTATCTTTTAGGGGGAAAGAGAAATACGATTTCCTCCAGTTTTTCATCTGTCCTTTGTGGTAAATCACTTTGACCTCCCTCCCTGTAGGAGCATTACGAATTTTGCATTATGGGGCAGGTTCTGTGTCCAGTCTGTGCAGAAGACAGAAGTGGAGGTACAGGATTCCCTTTGTCCAAAAAGGCTGCCAATAGTGGGTTAACAAATACTGGGGACAATGTGTAACCCTACTTACTGTATGTGGCAAGGACAGAGAATGAGGAGAAGGGAGAGAAGAAAGGGAAGGCTTGTTAGTTCATCTTATCTGATGACTTATACCACACAAAGATTCTTATAAAAAGGTGCAAGTGCCAAGTGTTTTCTAATGGAAGGTTTTGGGAAATGGGAAAGCTGGAAGGGCACAGCAACTCATGATGGCAAATCTCATCAGGTTTCCGTTAATGATGGTTGGGGGACAACGCTACAAACTTTGATGACTCTTTGCAGCCTACAGAGCAAGAAGGGCCAAAGACTGCAATACTTCAGGAAGCCCACTAGAAGACAAATAATACTGGTAGAGTAAAAAGACACAGGTCTTTGAGTGCAAGAGGGTCCAGGATGAGATGCACATCCAAGCTGGACCCTGTGGCAGCTGGAGAAACCAAGCTCTCCAAGGTGGTCACTGCCGGATGACAGTGCTTGAAATAAGATGGGTGAATAAAGGAAGCCCTTGGTGCTTTCAAAGTATTTTGTCTTCTGATGTTTGATTTTGACTGCCTAGTTTTTAAAAGATTGTTGGCCCTATGGGTTAGATTTATTTCGTTAGTCACCTACAAAGAAGTCATGTAGTGTAATCTACCTGTCTAGATTAGTTATATACTCAGTGGAGGGAAACAGACTTCTCAGGAGGGTGACTGACCACTTATTATGGAAAGCCTGCTTTAGGACAGGAAGAAATGCTGTCCAAAAGAACAGAGTGAGAAGAGAATGAGCAAGAGCCCAAAAATCTAAGATGCGCTCAGAAAGACTTGAAAGTAGGTGGAGGAGGAGCTAATCTGAATTCTAGAGCTGTGAGTCACAAGCTATGGGTACATTAGCAAGTAATTTGGTGCCAGAGGAGTGCATCAGTATACAGAAACAACTAATGCCAAGGCTCCTGCTTTTACACTATAAACTGCCTCGGCATTTTACTTTGAACTAGGTTTAATCTGATCCTCTAGACCAAATGACCATATGAAGCGTATATCTGAGGCTGTTTGAAGAATCAATCACTGTTTTGGACCTTTCTGCCCCAGCTGGGGTTGGAGCATATTTGATGTGTGTCCAAGACAGAGCTTTCAGTTTAGTTTCCTTTGATAGAAATCTAGTTTGTATGGACCAAAACTGCTCTGTGAACTGAACCTTCTGGACTAAGTGGAGATCATGGTGGAATTTGCTCCAAAACCATTGCTCCAAACCACAAAGCCCATGTAAACACTTAAAGTGCTGAACGCTCTATTAGGCACTTTGTTTATATTCCAGAGGCTCTATTTTACTCAGCAATTTCAATTTCCTAATGCCCTTTTAAACTGGGATAATACTGTTCCTCACTTTTCACCATCCTGCTAAACTCCAGTAGGTTTTTTTATCGTGAAGGTGTCGTAGTAATATTTACCTGCATGAAGCGGCCCTCCGAAGTTCCCAGATTAGCAACGGTAAGGTTCCCTTTGGTGAAGACAGATATCGAAGTTAACAGGACAGTGTTGAACTGGCCCATGAACAAGTCAACCCTCTGCAAAGGAGTCGTAACTTCTAAGCGATATTCATCATCTTGTGCTCTGCAGTATGAAGCATTTCTTGAAAAAGCCTGTTAGAAAATGAAGTACAGATGAGTACTGTCTTTATGAGTAGGAATAGATCTTTGTCAGAGTGAAGTCATTTAGCACAAATGCATTTGACCAAAAGTATTTTAAAATGTTTCAAACTTAATTGCTTCATCAGTTATGATGTTCCATGAGGAAGGCAACGACTTCTTAATGTTATGGGAATGTTTCTTTTAACTTTATTTTATCCTGTCTGTTGGGAATAAGACATAGGGTCTTTATTTAACCAGATGATCAAGGTATCCTTTCTCTTAGTGACTTCCGTAATGCTGCTTCTCCAAGGGTCTCAGAATTTGACTGCAGAGCCTGCCCAGCAACACACCTGCTTCTAAAACACGATTGTCCAAAAATGTTGCAACTTTTTTATCCTTTTTTTGCCATAAAATAACAATTTCCAGTATTCCTCTCTTTCTATACTCTTTTCAACTCCTTTTTTCAGTGATAAGACAGAAAAGGGGAGAAAAAGATGGAGAAAGAGAAAAGGGAGATAAGCCAGGAAAAACATGTTTCTGATTATATATTTAAATGAAACTATGGGGAAGCCAGCTTTTCATAATTACTTAGGCTATTGTATTGATCATCTATGGCTCATGCACTATTTTGTCCAATCTCTATATGTCTTGAGTGTACTATAATAGTTGCTGCATTTGCAGGATTTTCTCTTTCAGTTTGGGAATAGATTACATGTTTTTAATTTTCATTGGAAAAATTCTTGAACAATACACTTTAAGTTATCTCCAGAGAAGAATATAACCTGCTGTCCCGACAATTCAATAGTAATCTATTAACTGATAATTCCATTACTATTGATACTACATCATCTGTTTTGGTGAGATCGTACAGATAATAACCAGGAACCCCCTGAAGGATCTCTAACCAGTTTAAATTTGGCAGTCATCTAGCATGTTCCCACTGTGACATACTTTATGAATAAACATGTAGGGAGATTATAAAGGATCTTATGGTGGTTCCCTCTGTTGAAATCAATCGAGTGCTTCGTTTTTCCTAATTTTGTTATTGATTTGTTGTTGTTACAAATATGTTTTAAAAATTTTTTTAAAAAGCTTGAACTAAACCTTTTAAAGAAAGTCAGAGTCTTTCCACTAAATTCAATAGATCTGGGTCATACCCTTAAAGAACAAGTAGGACTAAAATTTTATTTTCTTATTTTCTTGATTCAGGTGGTTTTCCTTCTACTACCTATAATCGAAGTACTATGAGAAAGCAAGCAACGGACCAAGAATTTCTTGCTGGCTTAACTCCGGTGGATTCTGGAGAAAAAACAAGGCATTGAAAATGCTATTAACAAAATGTTCAACCTAATAGCTCAGTCCTTTGCTGTTGAACTGTAACGTTTCTGAACTGTGCACAGCAACAGCACTGGCGGGTGAAGTTTTCTAGGCTCCCTAGGAGTTGCAGTCAGCTGTGGTGCCAGCTTTTCTCCGGGTGCACTGTCAATTTACTGTATCATTTAGGTAAAAACCTGCATAAGACCAAACAAGAGCAAGTGAAATCTCTTTGCGCTGCCTAACAATACAGAAAGAAAGCTTCCAGATTAGATCTGATACAGCAGTGACTTAACAGTTTGGTTATCCACATGCTAAAGTGTTTGCTGTATTAGTTTTGGTATTAACTGTTAAAGTATGGTGTGTTTTGCTTAGCAGGAACTGAACTAATACTTTGCACTAGGCACACTGAACATTCATTGAATACACTTTAAATATTTTTGACTGATCAACAAGGGACAAATTTAGCTTTTCTTTGCTTTGGCCACCAAACAAGCTAAAAGCTTTATTCTTTTGCACTCATATCCTATCCAGTCTAAAAGTATTTCTGAAACATCTGTGCAAAGATTACTCATACAATGAGTATGAATAGTTCAAGTGCAGAAAGATGTACAGTTTTCATGCTTTTTGAAATAAGGCAGATTTCTGAATTTACCCTCCCCCAACTTGGGATCTCTGCTCTTTGCTGTAACTCCTTCTTTTCCATAAGCAAACGACTTCGGGGAGAGATGTTTCTGTGCTAACCTTAAAAAAGTACTTCCTCCCATGTAGTCATCTTAACACAATTTGAAGATCCTGACACGCCTGTTCAAGCTCTTTCTAACAAGTGGCTAGATTTTCCTGCTTGCCCCAACACCTTTCCTAGCTTCCCCGAAGTCAGTTCAGCCACAAAGTCAGCTCAGCCTTCCTCAGAGATGTCGTAATTTTGGGTATCTGCCCAAGAACCTGCAGACTGTTCCACATATGGCGCTCTCAAAACCTGGCGCTTCATGGATTGACCATAATGTAAGGTTAGGTCTTTAAGAAATAGGAAGGCTTTGATCTTTGAGTAGAAATGCAGAGATTAAAAAGCTACTGAGAAAACTAAAGGAAGATTGGTAACACGGAAAACTTCGGCAAAGAAGCTGCTTTAAATTAACTCTTTGAAGCCTGAATCTCTCCCTCCCTCCCTCTCTCTCAGTATAAACATAAGTATCCATTTGGCTGTCAATGTGGAAAAATAACTGATGTCAGATGATGCACTCTGGATATTATGCCAAGTTCCAGTGACAAATCACACAACTATTGAAATGGACGATTAGAGAGCGGGTAAGTGCTTGGGTTGGGCTATATTGCTTCTCTTGTAGGACAAGAGGTGCCAAGTGTGTGTGTGATTCATAGCGAGGGCTTTGTGAAGCTGGTGTAGGTGTGCCACTGGAATGCAATGAGGTGTGGGCAAGCCCTGTCTTTCGGCTGTGTCCAGAAGGGTAGGAGATAACCAATGCTATCTTGTTTGTTCATAGGGGAAGTTGTGGTGTTTCAGAATTTACCCTGGATTCGGTCCACAGAAGACAAACCCACCAAAAAAGTCTCTAGACATCGTTGAGCTGGGCTATAAGGAGCTGTCGCTGTTTGGCAGTTAACTGATGATTTATATATGATATTCAGTGAGCATAAAAATAATATTTTGGACAGAGTTGCACATTTGAAGCCAAAAGTGCAAAGCGGGGAGGAAATTTTAAAGCCACTAATGAAAATCTCAAAAAAATACTCAGTTAGGTCAGTGTCAGAACCAATCATAGAGTTTAGTCTCTAGTCTGAATAGCTAGACTCAGGGAAAAAAAAAATCAAAATTTTAACCAAAGACTTTTTGGGAACTTTTCTATTATTTGCAGCAACTGCAGTTTGGAGAAACACTCCTCCAGGCTCGTCCTTCTAAAGCCGGCCAAAACCTGTTCTTCTTAGTTAAGTGCAGTGCTCAATTAGAAAGTGGTATTATGTGTAATGTCTTGATATGTTTAATGTCTTGAATAAACTAGAAATTAATGACTTAATCACTGCAGAATATCTAATACTGTCTTGTAAGCGATTTGGAGGAAATCATTAAAATTAAAATTGAATTTGACAAATTGGAGAAATGGTCTGAAAGTAACTAGGTAAAATTTCCTAGTGTCAATTGTAAAATACTACAGTTATGAAGGAGAACTCAAGTGAAAGTAGAAATAAGCAGGAGTCTTGTTTCCTGCTAGTTTGCTTATATGACTTTTAACTTATTGGCTGTCAGGAATCAAAGTCCTAAGTATCAACTTTTGTTTTCTGCTATGGATCCTGGAAGTCTCCCTCACGAGAAGCGGGCGCCCACAAGTGCTGACAAAGTTTCTCCTTTGAGCACTTCTATGGCACAACATGGAGCAGGGGAAATGAGCTACTGCTAAATGAGCTGGATCCTGATATCTGCAAATGGCAAAAATCCTTTTTCAAAGAAACTGCTGTACAGTGAATGAATGGATGATTCTACATAACAAATTGATTCCCAAGACAGTTAAAAATGGAGACGGCGTATGAGCTGCTTATCTTTTCTGTTGTGGAGGTCAGTGAATTAAGATGAATAATAAAACTACAGTTTTCAGGAGGGTGTCCTACTGGAATCAAGCACATAACGGTGAGGAATTTACATGAACAGCAGACTCTGAACAGGAAGAGTAACTGTGAGGAACACAAAAGAGCCTTACCAGATTTTCCTCTCTAAATTTTCTTGTGTATTTTTAGCTAACACAGTTTTGCTGTTCTGTAATACATTTGAATTTTCTGGGTAGTTTGCAGTATTTCTCTTCAGGTGAGAAGTGCATTTGGTCACTGCTTCTCTCCACGTGAAATACAAGAAGTGAAATTCTGGCCCCAATAACTCAGTGAAGCCAGGGTGTTGCCTGAAGAGGATTGTTGGAGGTCTGTTAGAGGGCTGGAGTTAGAACCTGTATTGTCTGTTTCCCAGTCCCATGTAAATAGAAGTGAGGCACATTATAAATTTGGCCTATCACTGTTATCTTTGAAAGGAATTACTCTTCAAATTTCATGAACCTCATAAATCTTCCAAGCTGTCACATTCCGGTTTTTTTAATTCTGGACTCAGTTAGAGATGACTACTAAGATCCTTGTACTTATAGCTCTTTGACAAAATGAGGAGAGGAGAAAAATAACCTGGACAATCTTTCTGGCTTCTGGCACATTTGCAGACTCTGTTCACTTCATGCCTTCTTCTGTCAGTTCCCTTGGCAAAGGGACTATCTCCCTTCTCCTTTCCCATGTGGTTTCATGCCATAGCTAGTCAGAGTCAACAAAGTGTAATGGAGAAGAGGAGAAATATATAAATAGCTTTCTACTATGCTATCACAAAGGAATTTTTTTTCCTCTGCAATTTGCAAGACAGAAAGTTTGTGAAACGGACAAAATTTTACTACTAGCAATTCTAAAAAGTCATAGTCACATTTATTGTTCTCACTATATATAACTGCCACAGGGTGTCTGAATTCTTTATGGTTATGAGCACATTCAATGATGATACATGGAAAAAATATGGACATATTTTATTTTTTGGAAGTAATTGACCAGAAAAGAATCTCTTGTGAACAAAATCCAGTGCTCTACAACAGGCAGAAGAGAAGCCAGCCAGAGTTGAGGAACATGAGAAACAGAAATTCTTTGGATGTAGCATGTTGGCT